ACAAAAACAAGGCAGGAAAAGTTGTTGCAGAAAAGCCCAAAATATTAAAGAATAGAGAGGAAAAGGCAGAGAAAAATATAGGCAAGGTGAAATGAGGATGAAAGCTGTATGATATCCATTGTTCCTTTTCTCCACAATAACAAGCTGAGATCATTCACAGAAACTAAAAAGCTCACAGGCTGTGATTTCTACTTCACAAAGTCCTTTCAAAATCAGCATGGCTACAATGTACTAATGCAGCAGATGGAAAACAGAGAGAAAAACATCTCTCCCAATTTTTTTTTTTTTAATGCTTTTGAGCACCTTTGTTTATGAGATTGGCAGCAATCTCCCAAAATACTGAGAAGTCCACAAATTTCTTTTCTCCCTCCTTCTCAGCTCAGGGAAATCACTGTAAAGATAGTGATCGTGACAGAAATATGCAAGTACCATGACCTAGGCCAAAAGGGCTAAAACATTTTTTCAGTCCAGAGCAACAAGATAACATTTGGAAGAAGCTCAGGTGGACACCTCCCTAATTCACTGGAGCATAAGAAGGGGAAGGAGGTACAGCACAATCAGACTTGCAAGATTCTGTTATTATAGCCAGTCTCCATCAAAGTAGGTTTAGCCTTCCTGTGGAGTTGATTTCTTGGTCTGATCCATCTACTGGGGCTGACAAATGGTGTGATTTCTTGCCGGTTCCAGGATGGAGGGCAAAACAGCTGCATGCGATTGGCCTTAGGTTTTAGGGTTTTCTTGAAGGAAAATAATTTCATCCAGGGTTGAATACCTCCTGGGAATTCTGTCTGTGCCGCCTTGAATTGGACAGAACAAAGGCAAGAATCAAATATAATTAATCAACCTAAACATTTTTCTTTCAGATTGCCTTTAAGGTGATTCCTTATTATAATATTTCATGATCTTTTCTTTCTTTTTTCTTTTATGTTTTGGCCTTAGGACCCCTTCACAGCATTTCACGTTGACAAGACTCTAGTAAGGAAACACATGGCACCACTTTTGATTGGGGAATTGGCACCTGACCAGCCCAGCTTTGAACCTAGCAAAAATGTAAGTTTCTTATCAAATCTCCAAATAAAAATCAAACTGAGATACAGTAGTGGCTTATGGTATTAACCTTCAAAGCCTTAAACATTATAGGACTTGACTCAGTAATGGCCTTTGCCATTAAAATTGATCTGCTGTTAAGGTCAGCAAGAGATGCTTTTGCCAAGGTGCTCCTCAATCTTTCTGCATTGCCCTTGTACTTCACCCCAATCTCTCAGCCTTTAGAAACACAGTAAAGGCCCACCTCTTTCATCAGACTTTTAATTATGAAGAGTTCTTAGTATCTGCTACTCCATTCCCTTCCACTCTCCACCTCATTGCCTTGAAGCCCCCCCCCCCCCCCCC